CAAATAAAAGCAATGGTTGGCATCTTCCCAAGTTCAAGGGTACTCCACTGTTGGCCACATTTAGACCATGTTGTCCTTTTTTTTTTTTTCCTTAAAGCTCTGTCCACCTCCACACTGCCCTCTGGCCACCTTCCCATTATAGGTGCATCTTCTATAAAAAGTGCAGTTCTCCCCAGTCCTTTGAAGAGCTACAAGGTATCAAGTCAGCAGTGGCCTGGGAGTAATGGAGATGTGTATCTGGGGGCCACTCTGAGGTGCCAAAGAATTTGGAGACAAGGTCAGAACAATGTTACCCCTGGAGATGAAGCTAGTTTAAAACCAATGCCTCCTGGTGGCGTCTGGCTGGCTGCAGAAGTGACTGCCCCTCCTGCAGAGCCAGCCTTCCTCCCTGGGCACGTGAGGGAAGCAGCCCTGCCAGCGTGTGGCCCAGGACAGGTCCCTGCATTTCTGTGAGCCTCCATCTGTGAGAGGACAGGTTTAGAGGACCCCAGAGGGGCTTAGTGAGCTGCTGGTTCCAATTTAATGTCAGGCTCACGGTGGAGGTTGAATTCACTGATTCTCTGCCCAGTCCTGGCTTCGGTCTCCCAAACACTCACTCATCCTTTACAGCCTCATGTTGACCAATGATTCTGGTCAAGCCGTACTGGTGGTGGGCAGCTGTCGGGTCGTGTGGCCTTCCCCTGCATCCTCCTCCAGCCCTGCGGTCACTGGACAAGCCCCTGCTGCACAACTCTGTCCCTGTGGCCAGAACCGATGGGACCAGGCAAACACTGATGCGCGGCAGACCGGTCGGGGCCAAGAAGCAGGTTCAGAAAGCTTGTTTAGGGGATGGATTTGTACCAGTTTCACTTGGCGATATGGGTGGTCTTGCCATTTGTCCTGCCAACCGGAGGGAGAGGAGGCACGGCTGCAATGCGAGAGAGGGTCTAGGTGACACTTAATGCTGATTCCATGGTTCCCAAGGCCCAGCGGCACCTTTCCTGAAATTCTGAGGCTACCCTGGCATCCCAAAACAGTGCCCCTCACCCACTTTTGTTTTTCCTAAGTCAGTTTTTCTTTGAATCTTGCTATTTTATTTTATTTTTTAAACTTTTGGGGGGAGGTAATTATGTTTAAAAAATATATATATATATATATATTTTTAAAATGGCGGCACTGGGGATTGAACCCAGGACCTCGTGCATGCTGAGCACACGCTGTACCACTGAGATGTACCCCCCTCCTCCATAAATCAGTTGTAGTTGATGCATTTCCTTTATTTGCAGCCAAAGGATTCCTAGTAAGTATAAGTTCTGACCTTACTGGTAAAAATCCCACACAGCACAGAACCCAGGGGTGCAAGGATTTTAGTCTCTGTACAGAAGACAAGTTGGAACCTCATGAAATCACACTTGGCAGCTCTAAGGTGGAGAGGCCTGTGGTCTGGGCCACAGAGGGGTCCCCCGAGACAGAAAGGAGGTGTCCTTGTATCCAGACCATCCACACAACCAGACTTTTGCAGCTTGAGCAGGGTCTGTCTGCCCAAGGACACGCTGGGACTGGAACTCTGGAATTCTCCAAGGACTCTGCTACATCGCTGTCCGCTGAAGCTCAGAGACCTTCAAATAAAACCATCAACAGAGCCATTACACACATTGGCCAGTAGCCACGTTTAATGATCATGTCCTGGAAAGAAACACAGGCTTCTCTGCCCTGGGATGTTAACTCTTTTATTAATTTAGGGTTAACACTGTATTCGCTTTGTGGATTTCTTTTTCCGGAGCTGTGGCTTCCAGGAACAACAGCTGGGTTCCCCCCCAGCTGACAGGGGACACATCCAAGGCGTTCCAGTCAAAGAGGGGAGCGGGTCCAAATGGAGAAGAATGAGCTCAAAAAAATTTAAGGCAAATGTTTCCTCCCGTCTTCAAGGGAATCGATCAGGCAGATCTGTGCATATCGATGAAAATATATGAACTATTTTGCAAAATAATTAACATTGGTAAAAATTAGAACACGTAGCTTATAAAATGCCTACACAGGTTTGGCAGAAATCAATCCAGCCATGTCGTGAGGCTCCTGGGACACAGATACAGGAGCACCCACCTTAAGAACAAGTCTCTCGAGAAGCAGAATCAATTCCACAAAGTGGGAGTGGGAAGTGACAAACGATTCACAATTCTTGAGCCGGGTCTGCATTTTGGTAGGAGGAATTGCTTGGTCGTGGGTGCACCTTTTGGCTGGCCCCCCGGGATGCTTCTTGGGGACCCTGGGAAGGCCCTGCATCAGGTAGAGGTGACCGTTCAGGCCACAAGACTCCTAGAGACACAGACAGGACGCCGTGCCCAGGGGCACTGGGCCCACTCGAAGGGAAGATCTGCCGAGGGAGCAGGGGCTTCCCATCCGGGTGTGGGATTTGACTTTCTAAGCCATCGCTGTGGTTTCAGAAGTAGCTAACTATGTAGACACAGAGGCTCCGTCACCAGGGGTCACACACTTTCTCCCCCCAAATCGGTTTTATTTCCAGTCTGACCACACCATCTCCCCCACAGCTCCGTGGCTGGTGGAGCCCCCCGGGGGGTCAGCCCAGAGTTCTGCCGGCAACCCCAGTGGGCCAAGGTTCATGACGGAGCTGCACAGAAGCACAGGGAGGAGGGTGACGTGTGAATGCCAAGCATCCTGCCTTTCTGCTTTGGTCTTGAAGATTCAGTAAACTTAAGGTCTCGGAAGCTGCTCTGAGCTGTGGATCCTGTAATTCGTTCTGTTCCCATGTTGAGTCTGTCAGAAGGATGCAGCCAGCAAGCAGAGGATGAGGGGGATGTCCCTGCTTCAGGAAGTCCCCCTTAAGGCCCCCACCCACCTGGTCAGGTGCCCAGAGACGCCACAGTGGGACCTGGCTCCTGGGAGGTGATGCTGTCAGAGGCAGGGCTCTGGCCGACAGTCTGGAGAAAGGTGGACGGATGGGCGGACGGGCGGATGGGGCGCCCTACCCAGCCAGGAGGCACGTGCGACAGCAGAACTGAAGGAAGAGCTTCCGTTCACAGAGCCCGTTGGATCTGACCATCTGGCAGAACGTCTCGTCGGCTGGGGTCCCAGGAGAGAGAAGAGGGGACATGTCAGACTTGGGGCTGTTTGATTGTTTCAAACATCCCATTACTGGGCTTCATGGTGTGCCAGGCCAGGGGCCCAGAGGGATCGGGGGTGATGGCCCTCTCCGTCCCTCATCACACTGGGCACTGGGCAGGCAGGGGCTTCGCTGAGTCTAGGAGGTAAGGGAGTCATGGGGCAGGAGTGGGCAGGGTCTGGGGGACACCTGGGCCATGCCAGGATGGCGTGCAATCCTTTCTGGATAGCTGTGCTAGCGGGGGACTTAGGGGGAGAAGGGGAGGCAGGAGGAAGGCCAGGGCCATGACCCAGGGGACACCCCCAAATGGGGGTAGAAGGGGAATGAGAGGGAGAGTCACTAAGGCAGATGGGAAAGCTGGGGAGAGGGGTGGGGTCATAGAGGCCGGGTCCCCCCAGGCTGCTGGCCTTAGAGGATGCTGCCATGCATGGGACCCAGGAGACCCTCCAGTGACAGCCTCACTTCCTTTGGCTGGATTCGTAACCCAAGCAGGTGACTTCCTAAAGCAAGGGCTTCCTGGTTTTGAAGGGACATGATTCTGCATGCCCAGAACACCGTGGGACACTGAGGCACAGAGGCCACCTCATGGCCTGCAGGGCGTGCCCAGAGCTCTCTCCACAGGCCTAGTCAAGGCTGGTGCCGGCGCCAGGCTCAGGGCCACCGTGGAGCTGGCAGACCCCAGTCCTGAGCACCAGCCCATAGTGTCTGGAGCTGGCCCTCTGCTGCTCCTCCGTGTCATCTGCTGAGCCCCGAGATCTCCTTCCCGCCCCAGCATACCTGCCCGAAGGCCCCTGCACTAGGTCACCAGGCCAGAGTCCTCGGCCAGCCCCTCCTCTTGCCCAGAATCCCCAAACTGGTCTCTGGTCTCCTCTGCGTTCCTGTTTTCACAACCCATCCTGGCTCCCCCACTGTGTTGGCCCAGAGAACCAGGGCTCTCTCCCACAGCACAGACGCAGGTCCTTCCCCGGGGCACGTGGGCCTCAAGGTGGACTCAGTGAGCTGGAAAGCCTGTGGGCCTCGTGCCTTTGACCTCTAAGGTCTGGCCTCTCCTAAGAGAAGTCACCATGGCCAGACCACCTGGGGCTTATGGCAGGAGAGTGCGAATGGGACATGAGCAAAATCATTTTTAAGAGTCACTCAACAAAACCGACCAGAAGTAGCAGGGCTGGTGGCTGAGATGCCCCTCTGGCCAATGGGAGAGGCGGAAAGGGAAGAGAGGAGGACCGGGGGCCGGCCAAGGAGGTCAACCAGAGGAGACGCTGCTGTTGCGGCACTTTTTCCTTTCTCTTTGGACCAGGGCCAGCGGGCCAAGCTCCTCCAAGGGCAGCCCCAGGGTGGGTGGCCAGGCGGCCGTCCCCAGCTGGCTGGAAGAGTAGAAAACTAACAAGATGGCTCTTGATCGTTCAGGCCTGTGCTTCTAGCTAAACTGACCTTATGAATAACATGCTTTCCTCCCTGTGCACTATTCTTAAAATAACTTATCCTTCTTCCTTAGAGGTCCTAAAGGAAGGTCATGGACTGAACCTCAAGAAAATGGGCAGACCCTCCCAAATTCCTCCATAACAACAGCAAGTTCTTATCAAGATGAAGAGAATGGAACACCCTGTAACACACCCTGATTGTTAACACCTTTTCTGTTCTATCCAGTTTTTCTATAAAACCTTAAGACCCTGACCCCAAGAGGGGCTCACAATCTTTAAGGCATGAGATTTCCGTGACTCCCTTTGCCTGGAAAAGCAATAAAGCTGTTCTTTTCTGTCCTCCCCAAACTCGGCCTCCAACTCGCAATTCAGCTCCCGGGGTCCAGAAGCCGGTTTCTCGGCAACACCAGGCTCACCGTTGCTGCATGTGTGGTTGGTGATGCACGAGGTCCCCAGCTGCATGAAGCCCGCCTTACACCGGCTGCAGTTCCTCCTGGAGCCTTCGCAGCTCAAACAGTTCTCGTCACATCTGTGGGGGGACACGGGGTCCCGTGTGGGAAAGAGGCCTGTCTGCTCCAGGCCCACTTCCCAGAGCCCTCTGGCACTGAGCCTCCCACCCCCGAGGGCCTGATGCCCCAGCCAGGCACCAGCAGTCCTGCCTCTGGTCTGACTGCTCTCCTGCCCTGGGAGGGTGGACACGGTCACGGCAGATTGGCAGGAGGGCGCCCGGAGCTGTGGACAGACCCAGGTCTCCAGCTCACCTGGATGCCCTCCTGGGCACTCCTGGGGCTCAGGGCCAGGCTCTACCCTGAATGGAGCTGCCCCAGGCTGGTCAGCATCCTGGGGCCTGCAGGAAGCCAGCTCTCTAAAGGCGGCTGCCTGAGTGAGGAGAGGCCTCACAGAACCCCGTGAACCAAGGTCATTCTTCCTCCGGGAGGAATCCACACCCAAGGTGAGACAGGAGGGAAAGGGGCAGGGCACAACCATTTAAAGAATGACACAGCAATGACCAGGATGGTGGGAGATTCAACTCCTAGTGGACCTTGCAGCTCAAGATGGCAGGAGACCTGACTTCCAGTGGACCTTGACCTTGAGTTTCATTATACGGCTCATTGCAATATATTAACATGGTAAATGGCACTCCCACAGGCACTATGACACCTTCAAGGCTGACCATTGAAGGTCAGAAAGTGGGCAGTGGCCCGGTTCCTGGGAACCCCAGCCCCTTCTCCAAAGTAGTTGGAATAATCCTCCCACTTGTTAGCATATGAAGCTACCAAGCCCACAAAAACTAACCACCCCGCACCTGGCACCTCGCGGCCGCTCTCCCCTCTGAGTGAGATGGCCTGCACTCTATGGAGCATGTACCTCTCTGAATAAATCTGCTTTTACTCAAATGTGGCTCACTCTTGAATTCTTCCCTGCACAAAGCCAAGGACCTACAATTGGCGGGGCTCGTCCTAGAGGCTCAGCTGAGACCTGGGACATGGCCATCCTCTCGCCCCACACTTTTCTGTATCAAAGCGGTCTTCAGAGCCAGGGAATTTGAGAGACGGAAATTCTCAGAAGTGCTGGCATTTCACGACCTCGATGCCCTGGGCAGGGCTCCTCCCGGCGGTGTATCTCTGAGCCCTGGTGTGTCAGCCTCAGCACCAGACCCTCCTCCAGAGCTGAAAGTTTTCCCGCCCGTGGGGTGGGCAGGCAGGGGCCTCCCATCTGCCACCACCCAGGAGGGGCGCTAGGGGGGCTGGGGACCCCAGAACTTCTGGGTGCCCTGCGGGAGTGGGGGCTGGGGGACACACTCATGGGAAGACCTCACATCCTCTGGGATCAGAGTGTATGACAAATGGAAGTGATGACCACGTGTGATTCCACATCGGCCCTGGGCTCCTGTACGTAGGGTAAGCCTCCTCGAAGCAGCCGGCTGGCTGGTTGAAACGAAAATCCACTTGAGACACTGGGTGGGGGTCCTGCCCGGACTTAGCGAGGTTGGGGGAAGGCGGCACGTTTCATATTTCCAACCAGCTCAACAGTCGGGGCCAGCCCTGCACAGATGCATAGCCCTGCTGGACCCTCTTGTGCAAGGACCAGGTGGCCTCTCACTGGCTGATCGTCAGGTCGTTGGTGTTTCTGTTTTGGAGTTTGTTTTTTTGTGTGTGTGTTTTTTGGGTGCACTGGGGGGGTGGGATTTGGTTTATTTATTTTAATGGAGGCACTGGGGATTGAACCCAGGACTTTGTGCATGCTAAGCACATGCTCTGCTACTGAGCTCTACCCTCCCCACTTCTGTTTTTGGCTTTTTAAGAGAAGATGTTACAATCCAGAACAGCTCTCCCACTCAGCCTGGGGAGGCAACCCCCTCATTGCGGGTCCCCAGGTGGGAGCTAGAAGATGGGGCACAGTCTCCCCACTTCGCTCTGATGCAGGCCTCGGGGACTCCCTTGTTTCCAGTCTGTTTCAGAAGGAATGTCCCTTCCCCACAGCCCAGCATCAATCACGAGCTTCAAGGTCACGGACAACCCCTCATCTTCTCCTCGCTGCTCTCACCCAACAACATGGGCTGCCCCGCCCCGGTTCCGAGCTCTGGGCTCTGAAGTCCCGACGGAAGGCAATATTCAGCAAGGCAAGAGGACACCTAAGCACGTGGCTTCTTCCTCCACTGCCCACATCCCATGACCAAAGGGGACTCTACCCAGGAGCCACTGACCAAGAAGGGTGCACCGTGTGGAGACAGGAGCAGAGCCAGGAAGGTAGGCGAGAGGGTTCCGGGGTCCATGCATCGCCTGGAAATGGCTCTAGAAGAAGGACTCTGTCTGGATCTTTATGTTCTCTGAATTATCTCATTTAAAAAATAATCCAACACATGGTTTCCTTACTCACAACGGTGTGAAGGCACCACGATCTGTGAGCTCCACCAGGAAGGCCATGGTCCTCTGCCTCCCACCCGCCCCAAGCCATCCAGCGCCCAGCACGCAGTAGGTCCTCAACAAACACTTGAGAAGTGAATAAAGGAATGAGAGCCACTAACTGACCTGTGACCTCGGCCATCACAAACTTTAGGGAAGGTCCCATCCTCTGTCACTGGGTTCCTTTCAGCCCACTACACCCACCTCCCTCAGCTCCCACAGAAGGGGCCACCAGACCCAGCCCTCCTGCCCCCTTCCCCGGCTGCTTTGGTCTCAGCCCGGAGGACTGCCTGGAAGGGGCACGCACCTCCGGCACACTTTGTGGGGCAAGCCCGGCATCTCCTCTGGGTAGAAGCCCTCACCGCAGGCCGGTACACATCTCCAGTCTTGGAAGTGGAAGTTTGTCGCGCAGTGAATACATTCTTCTCTGCTGGGCCCTGGGGGGTTCAGGGAAAGTAGCAGATGTCAAGGACCGCCCACTCCCCATCATGCGTCCCAGGCCTGCTGCAACGCCCTGTGACATCCAGGTCCCACTGAGACACGCCAGGGCCACCACTACAGCTAGATTTCCCAGAGCCCACCATGCACCTGCACTGGGCCCTCCTCACCCAGTCCTGGGCGGTGGACATCAAGCCCTCATTTCACGGATAGGGACATGGAGGCATGAGCCATGGTCACTGGCCTTGACCACAAGTGCCTCCTTCCCCAAAGGCCTGGGCCCCACTTCTGCTCAAGCCAGCCGTGGGGACCTCTAAGGCCTCGCAAGGTGGCCAGGCTGAACTGAGGTGTGCTGCGAGTGTAAAACACACACACTGGAGTTCAGAGACTCAGCTAGAGAAAAATGTGGAAAGGGGTCGTCGATGTGCCAACGTTGACGTCAGGTAGAAAGGAGATTTTAGATCCACGGGGTTCACTGAGGCACGTCAGACTTCACCTGCTCCTCTGGGGCACTTACAACTGCATCACTGGCACACATCACACTCCATGGACAGAACACTGAGTCTGCTGATGTGGGGAACGTGGAGGGAGAGGTTTGGGGGATGCAGCTGGCAGGTGTTTGGTGTGACGACCAGGACATTTTCAACAGAGAAAACGATATGACTAAGGGCTTATGGGGTCGGAAGCGGCGACCAGATCGGGAGTCGGGAAGGTAACCTGCAGCTCGGTGGAGAGGACGCATTGGCAGAGGTCCAGACAGAAGACACCATCTGTCCATCTGACCATCTGTCCATCTGTCCATTCACTCATTCCAACAAGTAAGTGCTGGAGTCCACTCTGTGCCTGAGGAGGACCTGATGCTGCGACGGGGCTGCTAATGGCTCAGAAGGTGGGAACCGGGGAAGGACCCATCTCAGGTGCTCAGGGTGACCATGGAAAACCTCTTCCCCCTGTGACTGCGGCGGGGCTTGGCCTGAGGCTGACAGCTGAGGCAGTGGTATCCAGGCCTCTTCCTGGAGTGACTCCTGGATCAGATGAGGCCTCTTGGCTGTGTCAAGGGCAGAGCCCTGTGCAGCCGGGGGTTGGCAGGGGGGCTCTGCCAGCCACAAGGCTCAGTGTTCTGGCGGCCACTTTCACCCCTCGGAAGCTGTGGCTCTGAGCTCATCCAGGACTGTGAGTGGGAGGTGACTGTCATCCTTGGCGAGTGATGGGGCCCTCGTAAAGGACAGCTGCCCACCGGCCTGGAGTCTCGGTGTGGGTGTCCTCCCTGTCACTGCCATTCAGCAGGACAGTTGTCCCACGTGTCCAGTTCATGTCGTTTTGCTAGTGTACCTGGTCCCCCCGCCCCATCATTTATCTCTAGGGAGCATCTGGTGTTGGTGGCTTGGCCCTTGAATCCTCAGTGCCCCACCCCCAACCATGGAACCCTGTCACGGCATTGTCCTGCCTCGGCCACTGGGTCCCCAGCGCCTGAGGAGCTTCTGGAGTGGGAAGAATATGCAGTCTTGTTTGTTCCCAGTGTGATGCTCAATTTACTAAACTTGGAAGCTGACGAAACATACTTGGTTGGGGAAGGTGAGAAAGTCCTGGAATGGGGGGGGGTGGTGACAGCCAAACAGCAATGGGAAGGTGCTTAATGCCATCAAAGTGTGCGCTTCCGAACAGGTGAGATGGTAAATTTTCTGTTATGGACATTTTCCCACAGTGAGAAATGCCGAGGAAACCCAAATTTCCTAAACAAGTCATTTTCACAATTGCTAAAAGTGATCAACTTTATAGCTCAGAGTCTTAGGGATTCCATGAAGTCGCAAGACTTTGCAGGCCCCAGATACTAGAAAAGCACACACAGGTCATAAAAATCATTGCAGAACGGGTTAAGTTTAGGTGGGACTCCCACATCATCTGTGGGGTCCTTATTCAAAAAGCAGGAAAGACTTGCTAGGAAGGGTCCTAAGATACAGAACGTTTTCCTTTCTTCTGCAATCTCTCTCGATCTGTTTCGGTGTTTTTTTAATATGCTATTTCATGTCGTGCTCTCACAGCTGAGGACTGGATGCCGGGGACACCAGCCCTCAACTTGGCACATGTGCACCTCACTGGCTGAGAACTGCTGACCCACACCACATCCCAGCCAGGCACTTTCCTGTCCCAAAGCAGGTAGGAAACCCCAAGGGATCACATCTTCTGTGCCTGGATGCTCTGGGTGCCTGGACTGGAGATGGACGAGAGGCTTGTTCCTACCAAGTGACCCACGGAGTGTCCTGGGGCACTGCCAGCCCCAGGCGGGTGGGCAGCAGCAGTCACCGAGGGGGAGGGGGAAGGGAAGGCCAGGGGGCCAAATTCAGGAAACCTTACATCACGTAAGCACCAGGAGTCCCTGGGCAGACAGAGAAAAGTAGGAACCTTGGGACTGATAAGTGGTTACACATTTTTGGGGTGACAAGTGTCCTGGAGGCCAACAAAAAAACGGTGGGTAAAGGCAGGAATCT